TCCCTTTCCTTTCTCCCTCCCTCCCTTCTCTACTTTCTTCTTTCCTCCTCTCTTTCCCCTTCCTTCTTCCCTTACCTCTCCTTTGCTCCTACTCTTCCTCTTTCCCTTCCTACCCTCTCGCCTTCCTTTTCTCTCCCTTCCATCTTCCTTTCGGCTTCTAGGAAGCTTATAGAGTGCTCCTGGGGCCTGGGCGGGGTAAAATTGAGCAAAAAACGGGCCATTTGTTGCTCATTTCTGCCCTTCCCAGCCCCCAGGAGCACTCTGAAAGCCTCCTAAAGGCTCTGCATGGCCGTTTTGGTGACAGGGGCGGGGTTTCGGGAGGCAAAAAATGCTGTATTCAGTGTATAAGACGCACCCAGATTTTCAGGCTCTTTTTTGAGGGAAAAGGGTGCGTCTTATACTCCGAAAAATACGGTAGTCTGCGACTTATGGCTGATCTCTAAAAATTAGGTAGAGGCGGCCCTGGGTTAATGTCTGGAAAGGAGACCCCTGTTCTGACCTAGGCTTCACAACATCATGAAGCAGACTCCTTGACCCGACAAAAGCCCGTTTTATTAAGCTCCTGGCAGCTCTGCGCATGCGCAAATCGGGAGCAGGCTCCAGCTCCGCTGGCCGCTGGCAGGCCACAACCACCATCAGCAGATCCCCATTACTATCAGCCAGGCTAGGAAATAAAAAACAAAGATGCCAATGATTGGACCCCATTGGAAAATATCTTATGGGGCTGGTATGGGACCGGGGCTCAGAGATTCTGTATGCTCCTCCTCCTCCTCTCCATATCCCATACTTCCTTCTAGCACTGATGACGTTACTTAGCTCGGTAATGAAACGTCTGCAAGAAAACATCCAAGTCAAAGAGCACCAAGGGCCCCACGGTCCACCTCCTTCTCCTCCACCTCTCCACATCCCACACTCCCTTCTACCACTGATGACGTTACCTAGCTGGGTAATGAAACGTCTACAAGAAGACAAGCTCACGGAGCACCAAAGACCCCCTCCTTTCAACCCTAAGCTAATTTCCCCACCCGTTATCGAAGCCAGAGACTTCCCAAAGCTGATCCAAAATAAATTTCTGCTTTTCAACAGGGCTGGCGAAAGCAGAAGACAAGGCTAAGGCACATCGCGCGAAGAAGTTGGAAGCTTCCCTCCTCAGCGGTAGCAACGAAGAGCATAAGAAAAAGCTTTCGGGATCCAATGCGAGAAAAGAGGCCACCACCTTAGCAACTGCTCCTTCAGCCACAGGTAAGATTGAGCAAGGTGCTCACTTTGCAGCCATCCCCCTTGTTTCTCTAAGACAAATGTTTTTTTCAAACCCAACCCCCTGAGCAACGTGGTATATACAGTACAATGAAGTGAGCCATGTGCAGATCTATAGCAATAGCAATAGCAGTTAGACTTATATACCGCTTCATAGGGCTTTCAGCCTTCTCTAAGCGGTTTACAGA